ATACATAGTGATATATTCAGGCATTTATATTTATCCACAGGATGAATATCATTGTCACATATAATATGATAATGTGTAAAATCTACTTACCCTGAAAGTCAAACCAACAAGGATCTCTTTTTTTGGCTTAAAATGATAAGAAGTAAAAGTATCATACACGCACTTATACACACTCCACCTATCAAAAAGAGAAACAATAAGGTCTTGTAATATTTCTGCAAATGTGTAGCAACTTTGGGATTTCAGCTGCCAAAGGGAAATAATGAAAGAACGAATTTCCCTTTGTAAAATAAAAACCCATTTTGGGACTCAGTATGATGACCTGAAAGAATGTAATTCTGCATTAAAGCAATCAAAAAATCACAAAGCAGTCTTATAAGCTGTGCCTTCTTTATGTAGGGCACAATACATACATTTAAAAAAACAACAACTTTGTTTAAGCTGCACACCAACATAAGCAACCAGTGCATTATTAGCTAACCAGACAATTTCATCTTCCTGTCCTCGTGGTTTTCATTGTTTGTCATACAGTCACTGTGTCACCACAGTCAGTTTCTGCATTGTTCTGATAAGAGCACAGCTACAAGTGCTAGAAATATCTTGCAATATGTCAACTCGTGTTTTTAGTCATTTATTTATGTTTCTTCTTTAAAATCAGTTCCAAAGATGCACAGTTTTTGCAGCTACATGTTAGCCTGATTGGTCAGTCTACATCACGCATGCCCTGAGATGAAGATCCATTTCATCTCATTAAAGAATGTTTTTTAGTGTCTCATTATGAAAGTCTGTGTAAAAATAAATGGTGAGGCCTTGTTTGGAGCAACAACACCAAATTATTTTTTAAAACTGTAGGAATCTAGGATACTAATACACACATGCCCTTTCTCTGTGGGCTGGAGAATAAAGGTGGATTTCTGTGCCTAGACTTCAAAATCAACTTGCAGCTGATCCCACAAATGTGGAGCAGTGACTGCATAAGCTCTGATATCTTTTAGTTTGAGGCGTGACCCCAGGACATGTAAAGAATGCAAATGAATGAGACTGGTGCTATGCAGATGGGTCCTGACCATCAAGAGCCTTAGAAACACTAAATACAATCTTAAACTGACTTCTAAAATGGAGAGCAGTGAGGCCAGGGCTGGAATGGTATTTATATTTTTTTGGAGTCAATTGACAGTGTTGCTGCTGAATTTCAAACTATCTCCAACGATGTCAAAAGAGATTGGAGGAGACTTGGGAGTTACAGTTATCCAGATGCAATAAAGTTTTGGACTTTTCCCTATCTTTAGCTATCTTCAACAACAGAACAGATTTGTCTGTCAAAGGAAAGTTTAGAGTCAAGAATAACACATGTGTGTCTTGAACAGCAGCTGTGGGTGCAAATTGTGTTGTTGCTGTAGTTATGCTGCTCAGGCAGTGTGCAGGCTGCAGCCTTGAACTTAACTTTGAGTTCACAATCAGTTCCTGTGTAAGACGGTAGTTATAAATTTAAGGAAGCTGATGTCAAAGACTGTTGGGAACTTGTGCAACACTTATTACTGCTAAGGAAATGAGAGCTTCTGACATCATGGGTACACTTTTCTTCACAGCATTGCAGCTTTTTATAGATTTATTGAATAAATGTTTTTGAAATCATATTTTCTTTTAAGCATTTTTCTATGTGTACCACCTTATTAATTAGTATTGTTTTGAAGATGATCAAATGTTTACTTGTCTGTGTGTCAAAAAAGTCAGTCGTGTTTGCAGAGTTTTCTTTTTTCATCGCAATAGCAAGCCATGAAATTTTGTCCATAATATTTAAGATGATAAAACTTCATTAACTGTAAAATTGAATCTGCTGCATGAAACGACATATTGGCAGTGTAGTATACAAGCTTCATCTCACTGTGGCTCAGATGGCCACAAAATGAAATCTCACTTTTTCATATCTGCAATTTCATCAAGCTCAAACAAACCATTAAACCCTGCAGGGTTAAGCACAAAGGAAGTGGTACTGTTTGACACACATTTTAGTTGTCATGCCATGACTGTGGGATTCTCAGGAGGAACTTGCAGCACACGCATTGTGTGTTTCTTGCTGTAATGTTGTTCTCCTTTTAACATTCTGTTTGTTTTATGTGAATTTACGCATTCTTTAACCTAATATATAAATATATAAGATTTCCTGTCAACACATGTGTGTGCAAGTGCAATCAACCCTTTTCTATTTAGAGCAGGAACCCAAATGCCCTGCAGAGAAATTGCACTCAGCATGGTGTGGATGCCCTGATATATAGTTTTTACACATGATAAGTATTTCAGCTGTAGGCATGAAGCAAGGCTTTATGCATATATGCATAGAAATAGAGTATATAAGGCAAAAACAGACTTTGTACAATTCTAAGGAGCTTGAAAGTCAATATTTGTTATGATCACTGTTAATCCTGAACTTAGGACTGTGTAATACTGCAAATTTCAATATTGATCTGATACCAAGCAGAGGTCCAGTATTGCCAATACCATTACTTTTAACTTATAAAGACATCTTATGTGTGTCATGATTTCTGAAATAAATCGTCATCAATTTTCAAAATTCTGGACACATTTTAATCACCACTAAATCACTGAGAACTCCATAATATTTCACAATAAAACTAACCTTTCTTGCTTTTTTAAGAGTCCTGGAATGTAAATATGCACTTTGGGCCAGCTGCAGTGGTTTTAAAGTGTTATATAACATAAATTGACCAGCCAAGCAACACAAAAAGCAGGGATGGCGCAGTAGGGTAGAGTGGTCGCCCCATAATCGGAAGGTCGGGGATTAGAAGCCACTGAACGGCTACCCTTGTTAGGGTGTCTGGGCCGTTGACCCAGTGTTTTGTCTTTTATTGGTTTTTTGATTTTGTTCATTTCATTATTCTAGCTTTGCCTTATGGGTTATAGGTTTAATCTTAGTTTAGGTTTTGTTAGTGTTCTGGTGTTCTGTTCTGTTCTATAGTCGCTGTATCCCTGTGTCAAGTCTGCGCCTCTGTGTTGTGTTTCCTGTTTTACTTTGAAGGTCCATGTTAATGTATCTGGTTTTGCTGATTTGCCCCAGCTGTGTTTCCCTCCTGTTACCCATTCCCTGATTGCTCCCTCTGTGTATTTAAGCCCTGTGTTTCTCTGTGTCTGTGCTGTGTGTTCTGTCTGTCTGCCTGAGTTTATTTTTGGATTCTCAGTTTTGTAACTTTTAGTTTAGCATTAAAGCTGTTTCGAGTTCACGTTTTGCCTCCGAGTGTCTGCACTTTGGGTCCACCATTCCTGCCTGCACACAGCCCTCACATGACAACCCTGAGGTATCCCTGAGCAAGGTACCGTCCCTACACATTGCTCCCTGGTGCGCCTGCTTAGTGGCTGCCCACTGCTTCACTGAGTGAATGGGTCAAATGCAGAGGACTAATGTCCCCATGGGGATCAGTATTATTATTAAGAAGTTCAGAAATTGTTCATGTTTGAGGAATGTTTTTTCATTTCCAATAAAACAAAGCTTTACAGCTCTTCTCAGTGCCTCCGAGTCACATAACTGCAGCACAACTAAACATAGCAGTGCAATATTGATATTTGGATCAATCGGCCCATCAGTACAGCAGCTTTCCTGACATTTCTTTAAGTAGTCTTTAGGAATAGTTCTCCAGGCTTCTTCAAGCACATTTGAAGCTCTTCTTTGGATGTTGGCTGCCTTTTGATTTTGTTCTCTGGCCAATTGATCCCACAGTTATGTTGAACTTCAGAGAGGCCAATTGAAGCAATTTGAGTTAAAAAAAAGAAATCATGGAATATATTTCTCCATGACAACAACATCTTCCACTCCATGCAGGAGACTCTGAAGGCACTGAGCAGCTCCTTCAGGGGCAGGCTGCAGCACCCACGATGTGGGACAGAGCGATGCCACAGGACTTTCCTTCTAACTGCTGTCAGACTCCACAACAAAGACTTTGCAGATGACCACACACACGGACAAACACAATTCCAATACACTATGCCTTTGCTTAGTCTCTCTTATGTGCAATATTACTGAGTGCAATTTTCCTGATGCCATGCAATTTTTGGGTGAAGCTATTACTGCTTGGTCAGAATGTGCAAGTGTGTGTGTGTGTGTGTGTGTGTGTGTGTGTGTGTGTGTGTGTGTGTGTGTGTGTGTGTGTGTGTGTCTACAATGTTCTCGTTTTATTTACACATCCACTCTGTGTATATATACACACACATACGCTCGCTGTGTACATGTATACAACTTGACCAAGTCTACATTTAGTCTTACTTTAAGTTTCCATACATACATTTATATTCTTAAAATACAGATGTCCATATTTATATTCCATTTTACATGGTACATTCTTTAGACTGTACATTTGAACATTTTATTTTCCACTGCCTGTGACAAAGTTTTTTTTTTTTTTTAATTTCATTTAAATTGATTTGATTTTTTGTTTTTTTGTTTTTTAATTTTTGCTGCTCTTAACTTTATACTGTCCACTTTCTGCCATGACCAAGTAAATTTCCTACTTTTGGAACTAATAAAGGTTTATCTTATGTTATCTATAAACCAAAATGTATTCTAAATATTAGACTCATCAAAGTAGATTTTCACCTAATAGCTTTTTGTATCATGGCCATAGAATAACAGTTTTTTGAAAATCACCTTGTTGAAAAGTTTGAAATTAGTTGTTTGTCATGTTGCCTGATGGTTGGATGCAAGTAGACTGAAAGTGAGAGGACCCAAAAAAAAAAAAAAAAAAAAAACTTTGCAAGACATTAGGGAAGTCTGGAGAACTATTGGCTAGCTCATTGGTAGCAAAATATAAAGATAAGAGGGGAAGTTTCAGACTTTTGCACAGTACTGTTAAAGGGCAACAAATGAGGATCTTTACAAAAAAAACTTTTATTTTTTTTTTATTTCCAACACTTGAAATAAAAATGTCCAACACTCATTAAAATACAGCTAGCTCAGGTTTCGTTAGGTGATCCAACAGAAAGTTACAAAAAAGTAACAGTAGCAGTTTCCTTTTGTCTTAACTCCAAACATCACTCATCACAATAACATCTCATTAATTTATGGATACATTCAGTCTATTTGGCTTTCTTAAATTTGCCTGGTGTGGCTCCAGTTTTCTGCTTTTTCTTTGCTGATCCTTTAATCTCAGGTTCCTGACAAAGAAAAAGAAAGCAGTATAGAAAGTGTCAGGACTAAGAAAAGAAATGAGTCTACACCAGCAGTTTCCTGTTTTTATAACGAGATCTAAATTAAATATGTCAGTCAAACACTTCTGCCTGCTTTTTATAGTTACAAGAGGAATAGAAAGACAAACAAACAAAACAAAAAAAAGGAACACACACTCAGTACCATAGTTTTCTGACATGTACCTTTCGCTTGGACGACAGAGACCCAGTGACAGTGAAGAAAGAGTCCAAACGTCCCTGCGTGCTGCCCTGTCTGCTCTTCACAATCTTCTTACAGCCGTTACGGATCCTGTCCTCACTGCACACACATACACAAAATAAATAAAAGCTACTTATCCTATGAGCATGTTCGTTCACATATTTAACAGGCAAAAAAAAAAAAAAAAAAAGTATAAACCTGCAAGATGAACACACTGTACATCAAATATCTTTTTCTAAAGAAGTGGAGGCGTCAGGCAGGAGGAAAAGAGAAGCACAGAGGAGGGTCATAGATGTACAAACCGGATTCCAAAAAGGTTGGGACACTAAACAAATTGTGAATAAGAACTGAATGCAATGATGTGGAGACGGCAAATGTCAATATTTTATTCAGAATAGGACATAAATAGGACATAAAGAACAAAAGTTTAAACTGAGAAAATTTATCATTTTAAAGGAAAAAAATGTTGATTCAAAATTCCACGGTGTCAACAAATCCCAAAAAAAGTTGGGACAAGTAGCAATAAGAGGCTGGAAAAAGTAAATTTGAGCATAATGAAGAGCTGGAAGACCAATTAACACTAATTAGGTTAATTGGCAACATGATTGGTTATAAAAAGAGCTTCTCAGAGTGGCAGTGTCTCTCAGAAGCCAAGATGGGTAGAGGATCACCAATTCGCACAATGCTGCGCTGAAAGATAGTGGAGCAATATCAGAAAGGTGTTACCCAGCGAAAAATTGCAAAGACTTTGCAGTTATCGTCATCAACTGCATAACATCATCCGAAGATTCAGAGAATCTGGAACAATCTCTGTGCGTAAGGGTCAAGGGCGTAAACCCATACTGGATGCCCGTGATCTCCGGGCCCTTAAACGACACTGCACCACAAACAGCAATGCTACTGTAAAGGAAATCACAGAATGGGCTCAGGAATAGTTCCAGAAACCATTGTCAATGAACACAATCCACCGTGCCATCTGCCGTTGCCAGCTGAAACTCTACAGTGCAAAGAAGAAGCCATTTCTAAGCAAGATCCACAAGCTCAGGCGTTTTCACTGGGCCAGGGATCATTTAAAATGGAGTGTGGCAAAATGGAAGACTGTTCTGTGGTCAGACGAGTCACAATTTGAAGTTCTTTTTGGAAATGTGGGACGCCATGTCATCCGGACCAAAGAGGACAAGGACAACCCAAGTTGTTATCAACGCTCAGTTCAGAAGCCTGCATCTCTGATGGTATGGGGTTGCATGGGTGCGTGTGGCATGGGCAGCTTGCATGTCTGGAAAGGCACCATCAATGCAGAAAAATATATTCAGGTTCTGGAACAACATGCTCCCATCCAGACGTCATCTCTTCCAGGGAAGACCCTGCATTTTTCAACAAGATAATGAGAGGCCACATTCTGCATCAGTCACAACATCATGGCTGCGTAGGAGAAGGATCCGGGTACTGAAATGGCCAGTCTGCAGTCCAGATCTTTCACCTATAGAGAACATTTGGCGCATCATAAAGAGGAAGGTGTGACAAAGAAGGCCCAAGACGATTGAACAGTTAGAGGCCTGTATTAGACAAGAATGGGAGAGCATTCCTATTTCTAAACTTGAGAAACTGGTGTCCTCGGTCCCCAGACGTCTGTTGAGTGTTGTAAGAAGAAGGGGAGATGCCACACAGTGGTGAGAATGGCCTTGTCCCAACTTTTTTGGGATTTGTTGACACCCTGACATTTTGAATCAGCATATTTTTCCCTTAAAATGATAAATTTTCTCAGTTTAAACTTTTGTTCCGTGGTTTATGTTCTATTCTGAATAAAATATTGACAGTTGCCATCTCCACATCATTGCATTCAGTTTTTATTCACAATTTATTTGGTGTCCCAACTTTTTTGGAATCCGGTTTGTAGTAAAGGAGGACATGCAGAAGGTTTGTGTGACAGGAGGACGATAGGATTGGATGGAGGCAGATGATCAACCATTGAACGCAAAAGATGCCAGAAACACTTCATGTACAGAGACAACAGTGCCACCTAGTGGTCAAACATTAAACAAAAAGTGTGTGTAGTCAAAGTCACAGCAACAACAGATCATCTCAGTCAAACTAAGTAAATAGGTAAAGCAGAAGATAAGAATGAGTCAATATTTAGTTCACCTGAACTGTTTCTCTTCGCACATGAATTGGATCAGTCCTTCTTCATCCGGCTCGTTCCACTTCAGCTCCACTGTAGAACAATCCACCACTTCTGGCTTCAAAAACAAACCCCTGGCTTCTTTGTACAGCCAGTCTTCTGGAGCAGGGTGCTTCTGCATAAAGACAAGCATTGCGCACAAACACAGAATCAGAACCAGCACCTCGCTCAGCTGACCCGCACTACAGACTACAGCAACCTTTAACTTACATTGGAATCAATGTTCTCTAGAATCTCTTCGATGCTGCCGTGCTGTTTGATGAGGTCGATTGCTCTCTTTGGGCCGATCCCCTTGATAGTTCCGCAGTAGTCACAGCCCAACAGAATACACAGGTCAATGAACTGGGATGGAGCACGGAAAGGAGGAAATGTCAAGAAAGACTGAGATTAATGTTGTGTTTAAAGCTCCACAGCACAAACATCTGATAGCCAGGAGAGTACCACCACATATCTTTGAACAAACAGCACAGGATGCTGACACGCACCAGGTGATAGTTGTGTCATCATGAGAGAAGCACGGGAAGTGCTTCAGATTTAAAGAGAAACTTATTTATATAAACCTTTGTAAAAGTCAGGAAAAAAAAATGTACCTGTTCATTGGTCAGGCCGATGTCCTGCAGGATGCGATTGAAGTGGAACTCTTGAATAGGAAGTTTCCTGAAACAATAATGAACAGCTTATAGTTAATGACTACTATTTATGCTGCTATAGTGGGTATCAAACTACCAAATCCTAAAACCTCGAAACTTGGTTCAAATTTATGAATTTTAAGCGTGAACTTATTCATTTAAACCATCTCATATACACATATACAGGGCTCTAGAGTGCGACCAATTTGGTTGCAAATGCGACCAAATTTTTCAGTGGTGCGACTAAAAATAAATATTTGGTCGCACAGGTGCGACCAACTGTTCCGGTAACAAAAAAAAAATCTCTGTAACTCTCCGTGTGGTCAACAACAGACACACATTATGCCCCTATCGTGGACTAAACCAATCAGAGATAGTCAGGGGCGGGACCTCTCTGATTGGCCGTGGTCCAGTTGAAAGTGCAGGTGGAAGAGAGAGGTGAGTAGCTTGAATAAAGCGATATCAATTCATTAACGGATTCCACACAAAGACCTAAACACGGAGCGGACCCAACACATCAGAATCAGCTTCGTCTTTCTCGGCTTTCTCACCCGACGGCCTGAACACGGACACGCTGTCGGAGCTTAGCGATTCTTCGGGTCCGCGCTGTGTTTACGTCTTTTTGCGCTGATTCTGAGCTGCAGGTTTTGCCTCTCTCCGACCAAAATTCACCGAGCCTGCAGCAAAAGAAGCAGCAAACTGCGCTTCACATTTGATCAATGTCGTCATGAATTCCCTCTGACTTTTGCTGTTTTGCTTCCACCACGATAAAAATCACACTTCCTGCACAGCTGTCTCTCTCTCTCTCTCTCTCTCTGTACTTCAGGAACAGTTTCCCATCTCAAATCTGTTTTCTGCATTATTCATTCGCTTATTACCCACCAGTCTACCGTTGTTTACAGCGCTTTTTCTTTTTTCACTTAAATGACCTCGGACAAGAAAGCCGAATTTCTGCTGTTCAATACTGAAGAAATTTAAATTTCTTAAAATTATGCAAAATTGCAGAATATTTTTAAGGTTATCTGCTATAAAAAGCCAGACCAGGAAAATCTCCTTCATGTTTTCCTGTGTTTTATTCTCAGTTACTTTCACACAAAGGCATCTGCTGTGATTTTCACAATTCTGATGAAGTCTCATGTGTATCAGTACTGATAAATGATCAGAATTATAATATTTCTGACTGTCTGAGGCTAAATTGAATCAAATCAGGACTTTGAGAACCGGAATTGAATGGATTATAGAAATCAGTGATGATACTCAGCCCTAGTGAGCAGCGTAGGCCTGAGAGAAGTGGATGTAGCTGTAGCTGTGGGTAATAAGAAAAGATGAAAAGAACTATTGATAACTTTTTTGTTAAGTTAAGGCCTGATCTGTCTGAAATTCAAAGCCAGTGCTCTGACACGGTGCCATCAATATTTGAATGCTGAAAAAGCACAGTGTATCCAGAAAACACATTATATGCTGCAGTAAATGCACTGCCCAAGTGTCCCCTCTCCCCACGGCCTTTCAGCAGCAGACAGCAGCAAACAGGTCGTCAGAGGAGGCCAAGATGATGATTAAGTTTTTAACATTTTCTACAATATTGACAAAGCACTTTAAGCACAAGTTTGTTAGTTAATAATTTAGAAATTAATATTGTCTGTATGGACTTCCCCCCCCAAAGAAAGTGCACATGTAAAACTGCGGTGTTAAGCGATGCGGTTGAAAAATTTGAGTGCGCCTAACTTTTGTGCCGGTACGCCTAAATTTTTAAAGTTAGGCGTACCGGTGCGCCCATGTCAAAAAGTTAGTCTAGAGCCCTGATATATTCATATGGTAAACATAAATCTGATGTAGAATTAAGGCAACAGCTTTAAGTCATTTCCACTCTGCTAATATCTCTGTCAAAGGCGATGCCGGTTCATACTTTGCTTCGCTGGCTGTGAGATGTCTGAGAAGGATGTTTGTCCCAAAGGTCAGCCCGTCCATATCCTCTGTTGCCGTGGCAAACACCTTCCCTCCTTTAACCAGAGCAGCACAGCTGGCCTCAGCTTCACATGGAGCCTTTAAGGAAATGAAAAATAAATAAATAAAATTACATCTAACAGAATGATACACACAATCTGTCTTAATGCAACTACCTCAAACTGCACTGCAGAATCCCAATTCATGTATATTTTTAAGCTTTAGGCATAATTTCATTACATTTCTGTCTTTCTCTGTGATTGACCCCAGCTGGACTGTGTAACTGTAACTTAGTAAGGGTAAGAGGATAAGAAGCCTATTATATTGTAAAAACACTGAAACACAAATCATTCATGGGAGTGATGTCTCCAAACTGTGTAAGAAGTGTGGAAATATTCTCGATGCCACAAAAATGTGTAGAAATAGAAATCTCACCTCAATGTAAGGCACTCCCATCAGGGTCAGGAGCTTCTTACACTCATCATTATGCTGCTTGGTGACTTTAACCAGACGCTTAGTGAACTTGTCAATGTTCTCTTGCTCCCCTGGTTTGAGAGAGAATAAAATCCAATTACCGTATTTTCCGGACTACAAAGCGCACCTGAATATTAGCCGCACGAGCTAAAATCGGGGGAAAATCCTGTTTTGTACATACATTAGTAGCACCTGACTAAAAGCCGCAGGGTTCAAAGCTCGTGCAAAAAGTAGCGGCTTATAGTCCGACAATTACGGTAGACTTTCATGCCTAAAGGAAAACATGTTCACAGACTTTCCCACAATACTTGTGATATAGTCTGAGTTCAAGTTTGGTTTAAAAACTAGCAACTTCCAACAAACCATGCTGACTTTAAACTCTTTGACCAACAACCGCCCCCCCCCCAAAAGTCTTTACCAATTTCTTGGGCCTGGGCAAGCATCTTCTCAGCTTCGGCTCTCCTCTCCCCTCTTTTCTCAAGCTAGAAGATGAAGACACGATCAGAATGAGAGAGAGCTGTCAGTATGAAACAGAGCATGTAAGGAGTTGCTGACATAAATGAGTGACAGAAATCCACTGCACTGAAAACAAATGTTTCCATTTGCAGATGGGTGAGGACCAGAGGAAATCCTTACTCACCTCTGCTGACTTGAGCTGTGGGGGCTTGCCGTCAAACACATACACAGGTTTGATTCCATGTTCCAACATGCGGATGGTGCGGTAGAACATTCCCATTAGGTGGCTTGAAGAAAGGAGTAAAGGCAAAAATCATTCTTGTGTACTCAGACCTGAGCTACAAATCACTAAGTTTCAACAGAGGAACTACTGCATCTGCAAATGATCTACAATTAGGTCTTCTTATTCAATTTTAAATGTTTATTGTTGCAGCAGTACCTTGTTGTCTCTCCATCTTCATTCTGTAGAACGTTACCATCCTGTCGCACAGCAATCAGAAACTGGTAGATGCACATAGAGGCATCAATAGCAATTTTCCTGCCTACAGAAGGTGAAAAGAGGTGCTTGTTCAACAATGACATAAAGAGTTAGCATTCCATCATGCATCATACAGACTGTATGTTGCAACAAACTGAGGGTAGACCGACACTCATGCATCACTTATGTATAAGGAGTGTATTCTGGAACAGTTACCAAAGAAGTTCTTTATGTCTTGCTCTTTAATGGCACCAGGGGCCTGGTCAGCAATTAGCTTGGCAAGTCCGTGTATTCCCATTGTGTCAGAATATCTGAGAACAAGAGAGAGAGTGAAGCTCTTGGATTAACATGCTGTGTCATTTCCATCCCAACTGCATTTCACAAAGGCCCCATCACTGGTGCAGGTCTGCAGAAGCTTGAGAAAACAATGAGGTCACAGTACAAGTTATTTACAAATACGAACCTTTTTTTTTTTTAACGGAGGCTTCGTATCAATTAAAAGACGAGCTCCACGTCATTTGTTATCTCTCAGCAATGTGTGTGCCAGGTTTGTGAATTTACAATGATCTTTAAATCGACGGGTTCATGTAAGCAAACTGGAGAGCAGAAATGTGTCCTGGCTTTGATCTACTAGTGTGTACCAGCTGACCTCAATGAAAATGCCACAGGATGTAGCCATCTATTATCAAAGCTAGCTTTCAGGTTATATAATGTTAACATTTACAACGGACTCACCAATTTAGTAAAACGCCTCAGCTCGTGCAGCTACTCCACGTCCTAGAGCGCGAGGAATTGTGACTGTTTCGCGGGAAATCAAATAGCAGGCATTTTCTATCGATCTATCGAGCGCCGCACTTCCAGGTACTCCTAAAACCCGTGCATCGATAGTGCAGGGTTTATTAATCAGGCCTGAGTTCCGACACGGAAGACCCGCGAAGGCACTGATTGGTTATTTACCGTTGAAGGAAATCCGGTTTATTGGAAAAAGGGGGAAAATAACACCGTCGAAAGCTGCGAACTCCTACCTTTTAGTTCATAATTTCCCGAGGCGTTAAAGACCGTAAATACTCCACGTTTATTTTACATTGCTTGTGAGTGAAATTTGTCACCGGCTGGGATTAACCGGTAACATTTCAGGTGTATTCTTGTTTCCCCGCCCAATCCGGAAAACTCAGCCGAGTCGTCGTTATTTTTATTTTGTAAGGTGACGTGGAGTCGGAGCTCTTCTTCTTCTTCCACACTGGCCCATGTGCGAATAAAAGTACTCAGTGTACCCGGATATGAAGGTAGTGATATTACGTTTACACAAAGTATCAAGAATTTCCAAGATGCTCGGCTGTAAGGCTGAATCTTCACACTGAGCTCCAGTGTAGCGGAGAAGAGAGCAGCCTACTGGGGCCTGAAGTCCAAGGAAGCCGGCGGACAGACAGATTTTGTTGGATCTGGAGCATCGGGACTGACGACGGAGAGAACGGTAGATCGACTGTGTTGATTTCGTTGTTGTAGTCTTTTTTTAGCGAGCATGTGCTTATTTGGAGTAAAACTGTTGATGTGGATGAATCGCTTGCTTTACTTAATTTAAGGAGGCCCCCTTTGATTATAAGCATACTGCTGTCCACAGAAACAGGACAGAGCTTGTAGTGTTGCGACCTTGCTCTTACTGCTTATTACAGTTCTTGTATATACTATTACTTATCTCGCTGTGTGAGGCATTTCTGCCTGTTTCTGCCTGTTTACTGCTATTATTCATTCAACTGATTTAACTCTTTTGGCTTGAGTCTTTCTAAATACTTTATGGGCTTCTTATGTAGTCCTGTAATTAGTAAAAAGTTCAGATGTGCATAGAGCTGTGACGCTACTCTTTAGTTCGTCACAGGGGACGATCAAAGTTGCAATGCCTTATGTCAAAGGCATTGCAACTTTACCACTCAGACCAAATTTGCATTGCTGTGAAATTCAACACTAATGCCACATCAGCAATAACTTTAGGTCGCCCTTCTGAAGTTCTCCTTCTATCATTTGCAAAAAAAAATGTGAGGATTGTGGTTTTTCAGGAAATGTGGTTGATAGGGAACACATTTGTGTGCTTTGTAGAGTATGCAAATGAAAGGGGAGGTGTGGCATTGTATATAATGCGTCACCATTCCAACACAAACTTAATACATGTTCATATGAAAGTTAAGCATAACATGAACACTAATGTTTGTCTAATATACTTTGAAATTGAAAGCAACTCTGAAACTCTGCACCTGGATGAAAACTTAAGCTCTGAGCAATGTTACTTATTTTTTGCTCTTGTAAACTCCAACATACAGAAATTGACGGTGCTTATTTGATTCCAAACCCTCTTTTGGGCTGATGAAACTGATGAAATGCATTGCAATTCACTGTGGTTACACAGCATCTGTATTTGAGCCAGTTTCATCATTTTCTGCTGTGTTTGTTGAAGCATCGCAGGAATGACGTTGCATAAAATTGTGCAGTTCTACCTCTCTGCGTTAAGATAATTACGTGCCACATTTGAAGTGCACAAAAGTGAGAGACAGGCTAGCTTAAAATGAACCTGAACTGATAAGCTGTCGTGTTTTCAACAGGGGCCATGTGTCGTGGAACAGGACGCACGTCAGGTGGCTGTCAGAGGATGATGCTGCACTCTGTCTTGATCCTGTTCTTGTTCTTAGGCTGGGCCCTTGGTTACAAGATTGGAGACAATGTGACTCTTTATGTCAACAAAGTGGGCCCTTATCATAACCCCCAGGAGACATATCACTATTACACATTGCCTGTTTGCAGGCCGGAGAAGGTCAGTGTTAGTTCTGTGTCACTGCGTGGTGTTGGTCTGTTGTAACAAAACAGAGGAACTGGAGACATGTCGATGAGTAATGATAATATCTAAATCTCAGGGCTTACATCTCCAGTTCCTGTGAACATATTTTTATCTCAGAGTCCAAAGAAAAGACTTTACTATGTTATATTTTATCCCTTATCTGTTTGTTTCTACGTGAGGATGTGATATTGAGGTGAAGTGTTACTCCCAACCAAAAAATCTGAAAACACGTATTAATTCATCAAGTCAAGTCAAGTCAACTTTATTTGTCAATTCTGCCACATGTACAGGACATACACAGAATAGAAATTGCGTTACTCTCAAACCCATGTTGAGTAAAGAAGTGTCTTTTTATAGAAAGATCATGGCATTTTCTTGTAAAAATGTGATTAAAAAATGACATCTTGAAACATAAGAGTAATAATAATAATAATAATTTTGTGTAACTGATTTGCTGTTAGGAATTCACACATTCCACCAAAACACAAGCTTTTCCTTTAAGTTGATAGTTTATTTAATGGCTCACAGGTTTAAGGGAAAAGTCATTATTGGAAGTTTGATTGTGTTGGTAGCAGTTTAGCCTGCATTTTCAAAGGCCGGAGTAACATTGTATTGATTTTTATTTAGCTGGCAGTTTTAAAATAACTGCTCTCAGAATTATGATCATCTAATCTGGCACTTTTTTAAACATCCTGTATATTAAATGCTAATACTTCTTTCATCAGGTACATCATAAATCTCTGAGCCTGGGAGAAGTGCTGGATGGTGACAGAATGGCTGAGTCTTTATATAACATCCGCTTCAAAAAGAATGTGGAGAAAACAATTCTCTGCCAGCTCACTCTTTCAGAAAAACAGGTATTTACACGAGTAAATTTGTAATAGTTAACATGCTTAACATCAGAAAACTGGTTGGTTATAAACTGCAAACACTGAAAGCTTTGACCAGCACCGCTTACAAATGAAACAAAAATGCTATTCTACTCCTCAACTGGAGTTTCCCATACAGAAAACTGAAAAAGGTGACCTCTAGCGGCAACATGGGGTATTAACCCAAAAATGGCTCCTACAACCAAGGTATGCAAAAGAGCATCTCTGGACATATAAAATGACAGTAGAGTGGATGGGCTACAGCACCTGTCAGGACAGCAGAGGCTACAGTTCACACAGGCTCACCAAAGACTGGAGAAATGTTTCCTGGTCTGATGAGTCAGAACTGGCTGACCACCTCCGTATACCATCTTCTGCTTCAAGGAGGTTAACAAACCATGTCACAAAGCTTAAATAAACATCGCATTGACTGTGCTCAAAATCTCTGAGGAATGTTTCCTGGACCTTGTTTAATGGAAATCAAGGCCATTCTCAAAGTGGCCAGAAATTATGTGCAAACGGATTTCCTTTTTAGATCTGCTGTTCTGTAGCAGTTATTTTTTCTTTTTCTGGATAAGATAATAAAACTAAAACTTTTGGGGTTTTTTGCATTTTATGGAAGTCTTTCATCCTGTGTTACCTTGGATACATGTATCCGTATCAGGATCGAATCCCTCTTGATATTTGCTGTTACACCTGTACTTTGTTGTATGCTGAACCTTGGAGTCTGTAAAATAGCAGTTTCACATAATAAACATCTGTACAACTTTAGCACAGCTGTTTCATTATGTGAGGCCACAACCTTGTTCTAATAAAAAAAAAAAGAGGGACAATACATATTAATGAATATTTTAACAAATGTAAATGTGCCAGATTATAGCCCTTGGCTAATTTTCATCTGTAGACTCTCTGCCAGGTTGATGTTACATACAAGTTAATAGCAACATACAGAGACACTATTTCTAGACCATGTATATCGACAAGGACAAAAAACAGTGATCCCATCATATTAGAACAAATAATGACAACAACTACTGCTTAAAATATGTCATCTGTTAACTGTTGGTGCTTGTTTTTTTCCTTGGTAGGTGGACGAGCTTCGTGAGGCCATTGAGGAGCTGTACTACTTTGAATTTGTCCTGGACGATATTCCAATTTGGGGTTTTGTAGGATACATAGAGGAGAGTGGTTTCCTGCCTCACAGCCACAAGGTAGACACTATAGAAATGTTTTATTGAAATGCTAAGCTTTTGGTAAACCAAACTAAGCTTCATTCCTCTTACTTCTAAACTCCTGCCTCTTTTCTGTTCTATTAGGTGGGTTTGTGGACTCACCTGGATTTCAACATTGAGTACAACGGCGACTATGTGATCTTTGCCAATGTCTCAGTAAAAGACGTTAAGCCTGTTCCATTAGAGGAGGGGGCAGGTGCAGCAGTGGGGGGTGTCGGAGTAGGAGGAGGCAGCCTGACGGTGACCCATACCTACAGCGTGCACTGGTTTGAATCATCTCTGCCCTATTCCCGGAGAGCCGAGCGTCTCAGAGACTACTCGTTCTTTCCCAAAACACTGGAGATCCACTGGCTGTCCATCATTAACTCACTGGTGCTGGTGGTGCTGCTTCTTGGCTTCGTCATCATCATTCTCATGAGAGTCCTTAAGAACGACTTTGCTAGGTGAGTAAGTGACGCAAAGACAGTGAATAATGCATTGCTTGAATATAAAAGACAAAACAAAATGTCAGGTCTCTTTGTGCCTTTAATGTGGTTTAATAATGGGTTGGCTGAGCACAGAAGGTTGGAGGTGCAATTCCCAGCTGCTTCAGTCTGCCTGCCAAAGAACCCTTGGGCACAATACTGTAGGAGGCCAAAGTGGACCAAGAAAGTCTCTCCCACAGCATCACACCACCACTACCAGCCTGATTTGTTGATATAAGGCATGCTTTCACGTTGTTAACACCAAAATCAAAAGGCCAGACAGTTTTTCTAGTCTTCTCATATCTGACTTTGGTAAGCTGATTGAGATTGTAGCCCCAGTTTCCTGTTCTTGGCTGACAGGAGTAGCACAAGTGAGTTCTGCTGCTTTACGCCCATCTGCTTCAAGGTTGGACATGTTTTTTATTCAGATGCTCTTCTACGTTGGTTGTGACGAGTGGTTATTTGAGATACTGTTGCCTTCCTGCCAGCTCAAAGCAAAGCAATGAGCAGCTTACTGGATATTCTCTTTTTCAGACCATTTTCTGTAAAACCAGGAGATGTGTGTGCAGGAAAATCTGAGATTTTCCTTTCCTTTATTTTATATCCTTTTATCTGTTGAACACTTTAAGGGCTTTTGTTGTTTTTTCTGTCTCCAAGCTCTCATTTTACTATGTTTAAATAAAAGCTTTAATTTGAAGTTTAGTCCTTAATGTAGTTTCTTTTTGGCCTAAATGTGCAAAATTGTATGCAATTCCTGGACCTGTATTACCTGCAAGACCTGTAAATATAGCAGAGACTTTTCTTGCTCTCATTTTGGTTCTCCCAGTCATAAAAATACTTTGCTTTCACCTTCAGGTACAATGTGGAAGAGGAGGGTGGCTGCGATGATCTGGACCAAGGAGACAATGGTTGGAAAATCATCCATACTGATGTATTTAGGTTTCCTCCTTTCAAAAGCTTGCTGTGTGCTGTGCTGGGAGTTGGGGCTCAGTTCCTTACCCTTGCCACAGGTGAGTATTGACTCTCAAATTCACAAACACAATGAAACACTGGCCTGTTAAATCCCAGTGAGGTGTCTTGTTTTTTTATTCCCTTTGAAATGGAGCATTCTGGTTTTCTGAGCACCTCTATCCCATAACAACAGTCTTTGTCCCAAGCATTAGAGTAAAAGGGAAAACCTGAAACTTGTATATACATAAAGGGCCTAAATATGTCCTTTGTTTGCTTTAGCGATAATCCTCATGGCATTGCTGGGAATGTTCAATGTGCACCGCCATGGCGCCATCAATTCAGCATCCATCGTCCTGTATGCTCTGACCAGCTGTGTGTCAGGCTACGTCTCGTGCAGTTTCTACACACAGATCAACGGCCAGCGCTGGGTGTGGAACATCATCCTCACATCATCTCTCTTCTCCGGTAAGTGAAAATGGAAGCGACCCGGCATTTAAAAGCACATGTTCACGTGTCAGTTTCTCATCAAAGGCTGTGCGGTTGGTGTGCGTGTTTTTCGGCCTCCTAGCAACACTTTTGAAATGCGAAACAGTTATCTGCCGCACTCAAACCTCGTGTTGACCATTTACAAAGGAGCTGGCAGGTTAAAGATTAAAGACTTAATGTCTGATTTAGTTAGATAATGAGATATTTCCATTCTCATATCTGCACTTGGATGTGGTCAGTTTTCATGTGCTTTTTTTTTAAACTTTTTCAAAATTGTTTTGAACAATCAATATAATTGATTTTGATAGTATTTTGCGGGATGACTTGATGGTGAAGGTATACACCATGTGGGCACAGATGGTCTCTCCAGCTGATCTCTGGTTTGTTTCCCAGTTGGGCTTTGTGCTGAATGCCATTAACCTACTCTTTGTCACAGTTTTTCATAACTATGTTATTAAATATAAGCTTAAAAACCCTCAAAGTAAATGAAAGGAACTTAGTTGTAATATTTGAATGTACAATCCACCTAGTAAATTATTTACTCATGAATCTGTGTTCACTTTGCAGTATTTTGTTCACGTTCCTTATGACATAATGCTATCTAACAACCCTCAAAGGAAACATTACATGGATTATTAGATGCTTCTCTTTTATTAACTTGATTATTCATCCCTCCAGCTCCACTGTTCTTCACGTGGAGTGTAGTGAACTCTGTCCACTGGTGGAGCGGCTCTACTCAGGCTCTGCCGGCCACCACCGTGCTCCTGCTGCTGGGCGCTTGGTTGCTGGTGGGCTTCCCGCTAACAATCATTGGTGGCATTGTGGGAAAGAACCGAGCTGGCAGCTTCCAGGCACCGTGCCGCACCCGTAATATCCCCAGACAGATCCCGACTCAGCCCTGGTACAAACATACGATTGTGCACATGGCCATCGGTGGCTTCCTTCCCTTCAGGTGAGCTGACCTCAGGTGTTTAGTCAAGGGGAGATTTGTAGAAGTGTACTCATAGATCAGAGATTAGAAAAGGTGACAATAAAACACTTTATGGTTTTAATCACAAGTAATTAACATTAGACTTGTGAACTATTAAAGGGAAACCCATCATCCAGAGCCCTAGGAAGATAATAGGCAGTTATTGCAAAAGTGATTTTTTTTTTTTTTTGTCATCTCATTTGCATTCACATGTTTTATAGATCACTGCTCACTATTCACTAATGTTTCCTGTAATTAAAACTAAACAGGAAAATATCCAGGAACTGCTGCACTTCATTTCTTTTTCTTTCTTTTTTTTTAATGCACCATTTACATAAGTATACATCGAAGCTGAATTTAGATTGATTGACTTCCGTAAAATAAACTATTAGAATTACTCCCTCTCATTTTTGGATTTTTAACTCTGTTTTCCATCCAATCTTTCCCTAAGTGCCATCTCAGTGGAGCTGTACTACATCTTTGCCACTGTTTGGGGAAGAGAGCACTACACGCTGTACGGTATCCTGCTGTGTGTCTTCGCCATTCTCCTGTCTGTGGGCGCCTGCATCTCTGTGGCACTGACCTACTTCCTGCTGTCTGGCGAAGACTACCAATGGTGGTGGAGGAGTGTGCTGAGCACGGGATCCACCGGCATCTTCATCTTTGTCTACTCTGTTTTCTACTATAGGAACCGGTCCTCTATGAGCGGCCTGGTGCAAAGCACTGAGTTCTTTGGGTACTCCCTGCTCACAGCGATGGTCTTCTCCCTGATGCTGGGCAGCGTGTCCTTCTGGTCCTCATTGGCATTTATTCGCTACATCTATCGTAGCCTCAAGATGGACTAGAAATTCAATTTGAAACACGCAACTTAAAACAGACATTTCCACTTAGCACACAAAGACAATCTTCATTCTCCTCTTTTGCTTTTTCACTCATACACACCTGTTGCATTAAAGTGAGGAGAAACAGGGGCCTTTTCCTTGATTTAAAAGGGGTTAATAGTTAAACTTGGACAGCGTGCTGGATTGGTGAAAGCTCAGATGAGTATGGGGCTGGAATCGCATAGATTTATGATAAAAGGGGATATTTCAACACAAAGGGATGATTGCTTCCCATCAGGGATAAATGGGTAAATTGTTGGATTTGCTACGTGAGTGAATGGATTTTTTCAGACTGTGCAGCATCTGATTCCCGCTTCATGGTCCATCACAGTTATGCTGGAGCTATATGTCCTAAATTTCCCACAATATACTTTACCTACTGAGACCAGCAGAATGGTACTGTAGTTTTGGCTTATTGTGCAAGAGTTATTAATAAACGCATTGTTTTGCACTGGCCTGTTTGAGCTCCACATGGCCTTGCAGCGGATAAAAAGAATGATGCCTTTTAGATTGAAGTTGGTGGGGAATGGGGCAATATTGTAACTGTATTCTGTGGTCTCCATTGACTGTGATTTTGGTTCTGATGTAAATATAGTCTTTACAGTAAAACTCTTTTTAATACAATACTGCCAGTGTTCTGGATTTTTCCCTCTTCAGTCTTGTTTTGTCACAACTGTTGAGTAGAACTTTCTTCATACTCACACCAGATCCTAAAGAAATGCTATATAACCTCAAAATCTATAGTGCTATGCAAAAGTCTCATGCAATCTAATTTCTTTTTAGAAAAATGTGAAATGGTTGCAGCAATGTTTTGAAAAGTGCAAACGTACATGGAACTGAGCCATCTTCTAATTTCTTTAAGAAGTCTTCAGGAATAGTTCTCCAGGCTTCTCGAACGACATTCAAAGCTCTTTCTTGGATTTTGGTTGCCTTGTGTTCAGTTTTCTGTCAAGATGATGCTACACTCCTTCATGTTGGGGTCTGTACTCTGGAGAGGCCAATCCATAACTCATAATTCCATTTTATCACAACTGTTTCCTCAAGACTTTTTGTACTGTAAGAGGCCTACATTAAAAGAGAAAAACCCAAATAATCAGACAAGCACCTATGAGCAAGTACTTGGTGACTGCGGGAAGAGCAAAACTATTCTTTAAGAGGTCGAAATGTTTGGCAGAACTAGATTCAGAGAGGGGTAACCATCTGCCGTAAGTGGTTTAGCTTAGAGGAGGATGACGGGACAGAAGACACATGGTGAGTGAAGAAGAAACACTCATCACAAGAAGCTAGGTTAATTGCAGGATCAATCCTACCTTAGGATTGAGGCCTGATTATCATTATCACCTGATTTAGCCCTAACTATATGCTTTATCAAAAAGGAACATGTTTAGCCCCATATTAAGAGTGGAGAGAGTGTCTGTCTCTCAAACACAACTGGGAGCTGGTTACAGAGAAGAGGGGTATGCAAGCTGAAGACTGCCTCCCATTCTACTTTTAAATTTCCTAGTAAGTACACAAGTAAGCCAGGAGTCTGAGAGCGAAGTGCTCTAATAGGGTGAGATGGTACTAGTTTAAGATAAGACTGGGCCTGAATAATCAAGGGTTCTGTTTCTAAGCTTTCTAGGGCCAAGTACAAAAACCTAAGATTTATCTGAATTTAGAAGCAGGAAATTACAGGTAATCCAGGTCTTTAAGACTCAAAGGTTAACTAAGGGGAGTGTATCAGCTAGCTTTTTGCTTTGTCTAACTCAAAGCAAAAAGCTAGCTGAAAATAACACTGAAAATAAAGCATTTCTCTGCAGATGATAGCCGTTATACAACCGGGGCGGCTTTACTGTGACTGTGTCGTTTACTAAAATAAGCTACCATTAATTATAGCCTTACTACAGTTAATGTATTTATATATAATATAAGTTTTAAAACTGAATATATTGCATACTCTTTACCCGCCAAAGACAAACACACAGAACATTGAAACCTCTTTTTTTATAGAGTTAGAAGTATATTTTAATGGAGAACATTTGTACTTTTAGTTCAGTAAACATTTATTTTTACAGAAAGTACACACACTGTAGTGTTAATTCTTTTAAGATTAATTTTTTATTCATTGTCAGCACAAAGCAAAAACAAACAGAATGACAAACATTTAAAAATAATTACACACATTTGCAATCACAGATATGGGAAGGACAGAGAGAGAAAAAAGACAAATATTTACCATCTATTAAACCACAGATTTAAAAAAGAAGAGACAGAAGTGAACTCATTTGTGCTCAGGCATCATAAAGACAACCGGCCCCTCTCAGTTGGGACAAATCATCTGGCAAATAAATAAGCAAGGGAGATCAAACATTGAGGAACAAATTCTCATTTCCTGCTAAGATAGCAGCAACTCTGTCATGAGGAATAACTCTAAACAATTCACTGTACCACAAAGTAACAGTAGGTGGTTTATCCTTAACAGAGTTAATAAGAATACATTTACAGCAACAATAGTTTATCACATAGTTTACGTTGTGGATAAGTTGATGTTGTTTCTTTTGAGGCTAAACCAAAAAGAAAATATCCAGGGTCCCATTGGATCTGATTCTTAAAAATATTGCTCAATTCTTGAGATATGGAACTCCAAAACCTTTTAATTAGTTTACATTCCCAGAAGTAATGAAAAAAGATAACATTTTCTTTTTGACATTTGATACATAAAGGGGAAACAAGAGGTGCAATCTTATGCAAAACATTAGGAGCTTTATATAGGCGGTGCAAAAGTTTGTATTGGGTTTCTCGCAAGCGGTAGAAGTAGACCTAACTATGCTAATGGCTCCTTTCCAATCATCCTTGATGTATTGATTATTAAGATCTCCCTCCTATTTTTGAATGGGATACAAATTAAAACAAGAACCCTGAGATAAGTACCTGCTAAAACGCCTTAAAACCCAAGCAGGATGGTGCAATGAATCCCAAGCCCGACTTATAGCACAAGTCTATATGATCCGCCTGGGTCAGCATGGTCACTAATATGTGTTTGCATGAGAGATTTTAGAACAGAAAATTAAACCAAAAATAGTAGCCTGACAAGCCTTAAACAGAACAGTTTCCTGCTCCTACAAACTGTTTGCATTTTAGGTTGACTGCATTCTTAATATTTGCTACCAGATGTCACCACCTTAAAATTGAATTTTACCAAAGTGGCAGGATATCTGGACCACCTTTTAAAACCCAAAGGAACCTGAAGTGGAGAGAGAAAATAACAGCTAACATCATGGCCTTACAACACAGGACTTTCGAGTTGTCTTAGAGGTTAGCTAACTCTATTAATATTAGCTCATAAGCAACAATGCAAGTACATACTTAGAGTGATTTGCATCCCCAAGCTCCCATCTTTGAAATCAGTTTCTCTGCTGAAACAGCTTAAAACAAAGCAGGATGGTGCTATATGTCCTAAGACTGACCTAGAGCAATGCTCCCAAGTGGGTTTTTTAAGGCAGGAATGTGGAGGGCTAAGCTTCTTTTGCGACCCAATTCATAAAGCAGTCAGCCTCTTCCATAATTTGGCATTATTGTGTGGATGCCTCAAAGGGCATCCACACTATTGAGATCCTGTTTCTCTTTCTTCTTTATTATTATTCCGGGTGTTTCCGTACACTTTTCGCCGTGTATCTACTTCCACAATTTTTGTGCTATTTTCACCGTTCAAACTCTAAACTGTTCTGCTCTTTCTGCTAATGCCGGCTATGACTTTTGGTGTTTATTACTATTATACTTTTTAAAATATTACACTTTTTTCCTTTAATTTGTCCCATTGAAATGAATGGGAAACTTCCACAATTCAGCTAAAACTTTCTTGTCTTTGAAACTTAACTACTGCCTCATACTTTCACATAGAAACTCCATTCAAACTTTAAAACGTTCTCAAATGATTGGGCTATTCCTGTGTGATTCAGCTTTTTCAGATCTTCTACCGTTTTCATCTTATCTCTCTTTAAGTCTTCAGTTGCAAAATTGTGATTTTTCAGAAAATACATGCGTTGCTATGGTTGCTATGCAATTAACTCAGAGGGGACAGTGAAACTGTTTGAATTTTCTCTTCATGTCCAAACAACTTCTTGCTACGCGCTCGATTTCCACTCAAGCCGCACGAATTATACATCAAAACGTAGGTATTTTTGCTGGCTTTCAGAAAATGTCCCTATCATTGTTGTGGGACTCATAGATATTTTGCAAATCTCCTCAGAGTAACACAAAGTCAGAAAACTCTCCATATAAACTCAATGGAGAGTTTGTTCAAAATCACCGCTGGATTTCTCTAATGAGAGGCATTTTCAAATTGTCATATCTCCTTAACGAAGCGAAGTTAAGACATGAGGCTTGTCCCCGTATATGTTCAGACACTCCTGACGCTCACAATTCAAGAATTTCTTTCTCACCTATTACCGTTCTGAAATGAGTTAGACTTGTTTGAGGGTAGGAAATTTGTCCCTCGCTCAGATTTCATCAGATTTCAATCTCTGGAAATGAACCACTTTTTTCTCTCGTCATATCTTTTTGATGGATTTCCACAGAGCCCTGAAAATTTCCATGACTGTTCACCAAAGCCTGCTGTTTCTTACGGTGAAAGAATGATTTTGATGCTCCATATAGATTTAGAGTTACCAAAGGTTGTTTGAGAGCAAGTCAAGGCAGTTTTTGCTTCGCCTCTACTCAGTTACAGTGTATTACAAGTCATATATCTTTAATAATTTATGTTTTATCTCTGAATTATGAAGACCTGAAGATTCCCCCATCTCTTCTGAACAAAACGGTGTAAGAATGACCGTTCTAGCCTCTACGGTTAGGAAATTATGGCCATTTGTTCGAGGGGAATCCTGAATGTCAGAAATACACTGAAGAAAACTCACACCTCTCTCTGTGTCTGTGTGTGTAAGGGCTGACTACAGCAGGTGCAGCTAATTTAACTGACCTACATATACCAAGCCCAGACTCTCAACAGCTCCTGTTCCCTTTACTGTCTGTGTCTGTGTGTCTGTGTATCAATATTTCTCCTATGTTTAAGTATTACTCCTCAATCATAGTATTTCTGCTAAAGCAAAGTACTTCTACTACATCTTAGTACTTCTGCTAAATCATAGTATTTCTGCCAATTCATAGTATTTTTGCAAAATCATGGTATTTGTGCAAAATCATGGTTTTGAGGCCAAATCATAATATTTCTGTTATTTTATAATATATGTGCTGAATATATTATATGTGCCAAATCATAGTATTTATCCCAAATTATAGTATTTATGCCAAATTACAGTATTTCTGCTAAAAAGCAGAAATAGTCCTTTTTAGCAGGATTTTCTGCCAAAAGACAGTATTTATGTTAAAACATAGTATTTCTGCTAAATCATAGTATTTCTGCCAAATCATAGTATTTGTACTGAAACATAGTACTTCTGCCCAATCATAGTAATTGTACTAAATGATAGTACTTGTGCCAAATCATAGTATTTGTGCCAAAGCATCGTATTTGTATGGAGTCACAGTATTTCTTCTAAATCATGGTATTTCAATCAAATCTCAGTAGTTGTTGTTAAAACGCAGTATTATTGCCAATTCATAGTATTTGTACCCAATCATAGTATTTTTG